TTATACCTTCTTAAAGTTCTTAAAGAGTAAGTTAATTATTTTAATTTTTATCAATAGTTTCAAATATCTTTAATTTTTATTTGATAAAATATATAAAAAAATTACTTTTTTTAATTTTTCAATTTATTATTTAGGAAGTTATCCTGCAATAGTAAGTAATATTTTTTTTTTATATATATCTATATCAAACTTACTTTTTTTTATTATATATATAAAAATTATATTATTTAAATAATTACTTTTCCTATTTTTAATCTTCAATTTTTTCCTATAATTTTACTTCTTATATATTATTAGGTTTTTCATTTTCTTTTTTTTCTGGAATTTTCATTTGTTATACTTCTTTTCTAATACTCATATTTATCAACCTATCTAATTCTATAAAAAACTTTTCTTTATAACTACTAATATTTTAAGCTTAGTTTTTCAACCAAGGGTGTTCTAAACATTATTAAATATTATATCTCCTTTTTTCATTAACTTAAAGGAGTTTACTAATTAAATCTTTTACCTTTATTTTTTATAGTATTATAATTAAAAAAATTAATATAAATACTTCATAACTAGCCTAATAAAAAGTTTCTATTCCAAAACTATACACCCCTTTTGAAATTAATTCATTAGCCTTTATTTAATCATTACATTCAAAAGGATGGCAACCTGAAATTAGACTATATAAAAGTACTCCTAAACCCCAACTATCTGAAAGTTATCCATATTTTCCATCTAATGATTCAGGTGCAAAACATTAATACTATGAAAACTTAATTTTTTAAATTTTTAGTGTTTAAATACTTTTTATAAAAATAGTCCGTTATTTGATATCTTTCTATGAAAACCAAAATCAATTATTTTTAATTATCCTTTTTCATTTATTAATATATTTTCATTTCTTAAATCTTTATGATATATTCCTTTATTATGACAATATAATAAACATTCACAAATTTATTTAATTAATAATGATGCTTCTATTTCATTATATTAATTTTATTTTTTGATATATATGTATATTTGTTATCCTTAAAAATATCTATTTTTTTTGTATAAATAAATAATATTTTTTACTAAAAAATACTCTTCTATTAAATATACATAATCTTAATTTTCATATATATCATATATTTAAATAATATTTTAATGTTTCTTTTTTTTTTATTTTTTTTTTAATAATTTTGATTAAAAAAAAAATGAAAAACTAATTTTATATATTCTTAAATAAGCTTTTTAAATTTTTCTTCAAATTAAATATTCTTTTTTAATATCTACTTTACTGCACATACATTTTCTAGATTTTTTTATTTTAAATGAATTTCAAATTAAATTAAAATAAAATAAAATAAATACAATCTTATTTTTATTATGCTAAATATACTTAACCATGTATTGATTTATTTATAATTTTTTTAAATATAAAGTTTTTTTTAATATCACCTTATTAATAATTTAGATATTAATAATAATATTCTAAAAATAATAATAGAATACCCTTTTTAGAAAATTAAAAATAAAACCCAATTTTTTTTTTATCCATTTTTTTTTAATAATAAAAAAAAATATATATATATATATAAATTAAAATTTATTTTTTTGTTTAAAAATAAATAAATTAGTTTTTTTTTTTTTTTTTAATTAATTTTTATATTTTATCTTAAAAAAAAAAAAAAAAATCAGCTTTTATTCTTTATTCATTCATATTATTATTAAGTTTAATTTTCTTCATTTAAATTATATTTTTATTCTTTTTATTTTTTTTATTAATTTATATCATCATCTGATAGCTATTTTTAATATTTTTTAATAATTAGTTATTTATTTTATTCCAAAACTTTAACATTAAAATAATCTAAGAGCTTATCATAATAAACCACATCTGTATTTTTAGAAAACTAGTATATTTAACTTATAATATAATCTAGTTATTTCCCAGAAACAATAACATCATTATATTACATAGCTTTTTCCAAATATTCGTATTTACAAATTCCTAAATCTTCATTAAAATTACCTTTCTTTTATTTTGAATACAAAAGAATATTATCTTTTAATCCTGAATAAAACTTCGTAAAGAGCTAATAAATATAAATAAATTTATTTTAGTATATTATAAAAAACATAAATTTACTTAAGATATTTCTTAATAATATTAAAGTTCTTCTTCAAGTGTAATAATATCATATTTTCCTATTAAATCTTTAAAAACAGCCTTTATTACACTAATATTATTAGTTCTATTTTCATCAAATTAAATTTTATCTTCTGAATTATCTTCAACAGTATATCTTGCAATCAAAATAGCCTCATCATCATTTTAAACACAAAAAGGAAATCTAAATATAATTTATATATATATATATATATATATATATATATATATATATATATATTCAGATATATGCATATATTTATATATATATTTTTTTTTTATTTATATAAAAACTTTTATAGAATTTAGACTATATTAGAAATAGATATTTTTGAATTTTAACTGTGAAAATAATTTTCAATACTCTAATATTAAATTTGATTTTTTTTCAAACAAAATTTCAAATCTTTTCCTAATTTTTACACATCAAAATGATTTACCCTATCTAAAATTTTCTTTTGATATTTTGAAAATAAATTTATTTAATTTTCTTAAACAATTTAAATATTTTCTTAATTTTTTTTAAATTTTTATTGATTATTTGGATATTATTCTTGAATTTAATCTATTTCATTTAAATTTTATTCATAAATATTTACTATTGCTTATTTTTAATTATTAAATACTTAAGCTTATTATTATTATTCAAATATTTTATATTTATCTAATTCTTCATAATATAGTTTTTTAAAATAATCCTTTTATTTGGTTTCTGTCTTTTAATAAATAAAAATATATTTTATAAAAATTAATAATAAAGTATATATTTAATATAACTTATAATATATTTTATTAATCTTTTAATTTATCTTCTAATTCTTTATTTTTATCATTTGCTTATTAAAGTTTTAAATTATTCTTATTAAAATCTTTATTTAATTTTTCAAGTTCAATTTTTAATTTCATATTCATTTCTTAAAAAACATTAGTTTATTATTAATTATTATTACTTTTATTATTATTATTTTAATTATTATCATTTCTTAATTTTTTTATTTCTTCTTCTTATTAATTAATCTATTTTTGTGTAAAAGTTTTTTCTTTTTATAATTTTTTTAATTATTAATCTATTTATTTTTCTTTTAACTTTTTTTTTTTTTTTTTTTTTTTTAAATTAAAAATAAAAATATATAAAATTAAATTACCTATTATTCAGTTAATTCTTTTTCAAGTTTTTATATAAAAACTGCCATTTCTAGATTATCTTTTTTTAAATTTTATACTTTTTTACTTAATTCACTTCCTTCTTTTTCTGTTCCATTTACTTATTAACTTTTTGTTTTTCATTAAATAGTAATTATTTATTTTTATTTAAAATATTTTACAAACCGAAATCCTAATTTAACTTAATACATTATTCTAATTTACTTTATAAATTCTAACATTATTCCCTATATACATTAATTTCAATCTAATATAAATTTAATGTTTTTTTTAGTTTAAAAAAATTAAAAATTCTAATTTATTTACTAATAATTCTTATTATTTTGTTATATGTGTCTATTTTTTAAAATTTTAAAATTCTTATTTTAATTAAATTAGATCTTTTAGTGAATCTTTTAATTATTTTCTTAATCTAATACTTAATGCAGACTTTATAAAATTAAATTAAATTAAAAATCATATTTTTTTATTAAAAAAATTACTTCTTTTGAACTATTGTTGTTTTAATAATAATTAATTTATTAAAGACTGTTTTCTTCAATAATTCTTTCAAATTTATTTGCTTCTCTCTATATTTGTTTATAAATTTTTTTAAAAAGTTAAAAAACAGATAATTAAAAATACTTCTAAATTTAAAATTTTTGTTTTCAATTTTAAATTTTATTCAGTAAGTTAATTAATTAGTTGTTTATATTAATAATTAGTTTAGTATAATTATTCCTATTTTAAAAAATGTACAAATAACTTATAAAATATATATAAAATTGAACTTTATCATTGCTAATTTTATTTGGCACTATTTTTTTATCGAAAATATTTTCATTAATTATTTTCAAATCTACAACCTAACTTTATTATATATATAAAAATATATATATATAAACACAAAAAGAAAGAAAAATATTTAGATTTATACAAAAAAATATATATATTTATATTTATATAAATATATATAATATATATATATATATATATATGTTTATATATATAAATTTAATTATATATATATCCAGGAATTATTAATAAAAAACATATATATATATATTAAAAAATATATAGTTTTTATAAATAATTACCTTGATTTTAATGATTTTTATGATTAATTATTATTTTGATATATGTTATATGCACTTTTCTTACTGTTTCCCGTAATTGGTCTTATTTTATACTATTTCTAACCTTTTATTTACTTTTTGTTTGTTTTTTCTTATAAAGGATGCTTATTATCATTAATCGATATTCTTCTATTTTCATTTTCAATTTGACTATTATTTCTTTTAATTCCAGTTTATGATGTCTATGGACGTTTTTCATATAATTATTAATTCTTTATTATTGTTAATATTTTTTATTTATCAATTTTTTTTTACTTCTTAGAAATTAGAGTCTTATGAATTATTCATTTGTTTAAATTTTATTAATATTTTTATTTAAAAAAAATAAATAAATATAATAAACATAATATTTCTTTTGTTAATTTGATTTTTGATTTTAGTTGTTTTTGTTTTTAAAATATTTTAATTTTATTTTTTTTTAAAGATATATTAAGAAATTATTTAAATTCGACTTAAAAAGTTATTATATTTACTATAAACTAAAGATTTTTTATATTTTTTAATTAAATATATTATTTTTATTTTACTTTTTACATAAAAAATGCATATTTATATATAAAAAATGAAATAATTAATCAAAATTTCAAATCATTTATTGACAGTTCATTTGCTTCTTTTAATTATTCATCAATAGCTTCCGCATTTAATTTTTTAAGCATTTATTCCATTTATTAAACTAAAACTTCTTCCTTTATACATTTATCTTTAAAACTTTCTTCACCAGTATTAATACTTTCTATAAATTAAAAAAATAATTTTTTTTTTAATAAAAAAAATGATAAATTCTACCTATTAATGTTTCGGATTGTACTTTATCATATTCAACACATTTAAGAAGAAATTAATACAAAAGCATTTTTGGTTAAACAAACGAAACAAATTTCGGATGAATAAGTAAACTTATTTAAATTAAACTATAAATTGCATTATTTAAAACATACCATTAAATAGCCTATATTATATATATATATATATATATATATATATATGTAGAATTATTTATTTAAAAAAATATAATTAAAATAATACAGCAGGCCAATTACTAAGTAAAGGAAGCCATAGAATTATTAAAATTTAAATATAACCTCTTATTTTAGAAATTATTGTGTGTTTATTTTCAGGAGTAATAAATCTCTATTTTTATATTATAAATATATATATATATATATATATATATATATATATATATATATATATATATATATATATATATATATAATGTATTCTTTACTTGCATATTCATATAATATCCTGCTATCGCTAATGTAGGAAGTATAAAATAAGGATCTATGTTTACAAGACTCTTTTATTAAAAAAAAAAAGTAAAAAATTAAATGCATTTTTTTATTTTTATATTTACAGGAACCCATAAAAAAGATGAGCTTTTAACACTTTCTTCTACCATAGTTCTTCTTATACTCCATATCATGGTAATAATAATTGGAATATTAAATAAATTATAAAGAAACAATCTATAAAACTTTAACTTTTAAGTTCTAAATAAAAATTAAAAAAAAGTATTATAAATTTATTTATTTATTATTATGTATACTTAATAATATGAAAACTACATTTACCAATTAAAAAAATTTTTTTTTTTTTGTTAATTCTGTTGCATTTACTAATTTTGCAACTTGAATTAATACTGGGGCAATCTTAAAGAAAAAAATAAATAAATATATAATATATATAATAGATCTTTTAATTATATATAATAATTATTTTATTTTATAATATTTAATTATATTTAATATTTATTATTTACAGCTGTTAATTTGCTTGTTCTTTTAAATTAAATATAAATTAATGGAAGAATTGAAGTTCTTAAAAAAATACAAGTCAAACTTATCACACCCCACCTAAATAATATTTTATAATATTAATAGAAACAAAAAATATATAAAATACCAAGGAATACCTAATGAATTTAAAAAAACTAATAAATCCTTTTTTTTTTTTTTTTTTTTTTTGTATATGTTATTTTGTAAAATATTATAATACTTTTCCTTATTCGACCACAGGATCAAAAAAATTCAGAATCGGAGGCAGTGAAGCCATTATATCTGGATCAAAAAATATTAATCTATCCTTTGTTTATTAATTTAATAACAATAAATTTTAATTTTTTTTATTATGTGTACGAAAAATGGCTGAGAACTTTCTAATTATTCAATCTTTTTAATTGTTTATTCAGGCATATCAGGTGGTATAAAAGAGGAAGACCTGAAAATTAATTTATTATGATGAATGAAATTTTTGGATTATAAAAATAAGAATTTATTTAAATTATTTCTTATCATTTTTTATTTTTTTAAGAAATGGATATGAAAAATATTAATTTTTGAAAATAAAAATAATATTATTAATATTTTTCTTTTTATAAAAATATTATTTTATTCTTTCTTTTTTTTAAAAAAAATAAAAATATCAAACATATTAATTTTATTCAATTGACTTATTTAATAAATTTCTTTAAGTTTTTATAGCTTCTTGTCCTTATATAATCAAAATATTCATATTTTTATGTATTTTAGTTTTTTATTAATCATTTATAAAAATATAATGTTTTTTCCTTATCCTATAAAACAAATGCTAATTATTTCTTTCAATTAGTTTATTTATTTAACAAAAAAATATAGATAATTATTATATTATATTAGATCTTGTATAATCTACTTTATCTTCTTATATAAGAATATATCCTAATAAGGTATTTATAGTTTGAATTGTTAAAATATTTTTTTTAATAAGCTTAATTACTGTAAATTTCTAAATCAATAATATTAATTTTATTTTCTATATAAGCCAAAAGAGTAACTATTTATTAATGTGTTTTGTACTTATTAAAAAATATTAGAGAAAAAATGAAGCATTTAGATTAATCTAGCTTTAGAATATCTCGAAACTTTTTAAAAAATCTATAAATTACTAAAATATTGATATACTAAAAGGGTTAAATTTATTAATTTTTGTAATGAATACATATATTTTTATTAATTATATCATAATCATCTATTAAATTAAATTTTATAAATAAAATTCAAAGTTTTTTCTATAATTTATATAAGAACTATTATGTGTGTTTTTCAATAATAATTTCAAAAGGCATCTTTAATTTTTAAACCTAAATATGATTAAAAAACCATTATATATAATAAATACTTAAATCCGATTTTATCTCTCTTAGGTTCCAATCAAATAATCATTTAAAAATATACAAGAAATCTTAGAAATTGTTAAAATTTTCATTAAAACTATAAATTCATTAATTTTAAAATAAAATAATGTATATTATTATTACTAAAGAAACAAAATAATCCATATTAATTTTACTAAATGATTTTTTATTTTTCACTATTCATTCTTTTAGGCTTAAAAAGTTAATTTTGATTACAATAATTTATCGCTTCATACTTTATATTATAGGTATTAAATCTTTCATTTTTATATTTTTATTTTTTTAATTTTTACTTTTTAACTAACTTATTTTATTTTATTGATATAAAATTAGACAAATTTATATATTATCCAAATTAAAAAAAATATTTATTTATTTATTTGTTCATAAATAAACTTCAATAATTTTGAAGAATTTCTCATTTTATATAAATAGACTATTTATTCACAAAAATATTTCTTTTTTTTTGAAAAAAAAAAACATAAAAATATTAATTATAAATACTATGACTATATAATATTATAATTTATTGATTTACTATGTCTTTAAAAAAACTTATACTATACTCGATAAAATACTATATATTAGAAATACTAAAATGTTAATATTTTTTTTATTTTAAATTATTTTTTTCGTATATTGTTTTTTTCACTTAAATTATTTAATCATATAATTTAGATATTAAACTTTAAATTTAATAAATTTATAAAAATTAAAAATTTCTATTTAAATTTATAAAATTTATAAATTAATTAATAATTTTTTTATATATAAATAAGATTTTATTAATTTTAATAATTGTTATATAAAAGGATTAAAAATTAATCTTATGATTTAGTTCGTAAATTTTTCATATAAATAAATATTTATATTTATTATATTTTTTTATTTTTAAGAATAATTTAGATTTAAATATATATTTTAAATTTTATGCTATTTATATTAAAATATAAAAATATTATATAAATTAAATATATTAAATATATATTTTTAAAAAATTATTATAATATTCTAAAAAGTTTATTTTAGTTTTATAAATAATAATATTTATTCAATAAAATATAAATAATTTAGTATTTAATAATATTTAATAAAAAAAAAAAATGTTAGTTTTTTAAAATTAAAAATTAAAATATTTATTAATTGAAGATATTTTTTAAAATAATAATAATAATAATAATAATAATAATAATAATAATAATATAATAATAATATAATTAATATTAATATTTACTTCAATTTTTTTTCTCATTAATTATACTTTCAAATATTTCTTTATAAACATTAAATCTTTATATATATTAATCTACAGCTTATTATTAAATAATTTTACTGTATTCTTCTACATTTTCATATCCTATAAAAGCTTTAAGAATATAAGGGCTAATTTATTAAAATGAAAAAGTATCTTCATTTAAATTATCTTTCTCAAAAACATACTAAAATGTAATAAGTATTTATTTAACTAACTTTAAATCTTAGAAAATTTATAAACCAAAATTTTTTTCAGAATCAATTTTTTGATAATTTTAAATATTCGTCCTTATATATATATTATTATTAATTAACAATTTTTAAATTTTGTTGATATTGACATTAGAAATAACTGAAAAAATCATAGGTAATAATTTCTTTTTTTGATTATTTATTCGATTTTCAAAGCTTTGCCTTAATTCAATTATTGCCCAATTATCTAAACTAGGAGGAACGCATAAAAATATAATATCACATTATTCAATTAACCTGTCATTATCAAAATATATATTAAGTCCTATTTCTTCATATTTAATTAGGCTTTCTGGTCTTCGGGTTGATACATGAATGTTGTTCATGTCTATATAGCCTATTAAAAAAAAAATTGAATTTAATAAACTTATTCCAATATTTCCACAACCGATTATTCCTATTTTAAAGTTTTTAATAATTTCTAATAAATCTTATTGGTGATTTTATGGATTTGTTTTTTCTATTTTTCTTTTGAGAATATCAAAATAAACTTGTAAGTAAAATATCAATTATGAAATTATACATTATTTTGATTCTGTTATTTATTTAAATTCATTTATTATCCTACCTTTATTATATTTTTTTAAAAAAATTAATTTTTTATTTTACTATAGTCAAATTATGTTTATTCTGAAAGTTTATAATAAGGTTTTATTATTTGTTTTTCGGATTCGAAAAAAACAGAATTTTTGTTTAAGGGATAGTCTTTAATTGAATATATGGAAGTATTTTACATTTTTATAATTTATATAATTTAATATTAATTATTTTATTAATTAATAAAATAATTATAAGTATATATATATATAATAATTATTAAAAAATTAAAAAAATATTTAATAAATTAAAAAAAATTTATATTCATTATATAAAAAATTAAGTAATATTTATAATAATGAAATAAATATTAAATTATTAATTTTTTTTTTTTTATAATATATATATATATATATATATATATATATATATATTTATATATATATAATCTTTTATATATTAGTTTTATTATGTTTTTTTAATCATTACTCTATCCATTCCTATCTTTCTATATCTTCCATTGAAAATAATTTATTACAGTATTTAAATTCTTCATCTTCCATATATCCTGGACATTTATAATTTCCATTGATATAATCAAATCTTAATTTTCCTCCATGACATATTGGACATTTAGGTATTTTTCCTAGTGTTTTACCATCAGCACATTTGTCTATCAATTATTATTTATTCCCTGTTTTCGCTTAATCATTAATATGGAGTATTTATTTTAATTCTGTACTTGTTTTTTCCCCATAAAATTCCTTATATTGATTATACAAATCTAATTATTCATCTGTGTATCCCATAACTTATCTGTTTTTATGCATTTTTTAATTAGTTTTTGATTTAGTTTTTTGTTTCATTTCTTCCTATTTTGGTTTTTTTTTTACAATTTAATTTTAATTTACACCCTTAAAAAAATCAATCACCTCTACTTTTTATTCTTATTTTAAATCATAATATCCCGGAATTTCTAAAGCGTCCAAATTCTAGAATTCGCCTTTTAATTAAAAGCATTTTAAATGATAGCAATCAAATGTTTATTTTGAAGGAGTAAATTATTTAGCTGATAATGACTTTAGTTATAATCCTTATTCAATTCTATGTTTACAATAACGGCATGTAGAGCGTTTATTTTATGTTTATTTAAGCTCGAGTTTTTTTTCGGCCATATTGAGTTTTTTTTTTTTTGTATACAATAATAATTTAAATTTTTTTTTTTGAATTATAAAATTATAATTTATTTATATAATTTTATTTATTTAGTAAAAATAATAATAAAATAAATATATATATAGTAAATAAATTAATATATGTATTTTTTTTCATTTATTCATATTATTTTAAATAGCCATTTTATGTAAATTATTCTTTTCTTTATTTTTAACTTCTAAATGTAATTAATTTTTTAAAATATTCGAATCAATACTCTCTGTTTTTGCTCTAGTCGAGAACTTCGACTAAACTAATTCTTTATTTTCTTTATTACCTAAATTAGCATTACTATAATTACTTAAACTACCCATAGTATCAATATTTCCATTCATAGCCGGAATTCCATTCGAATGAAGTGCTAAAGAACCAATTTATTCTTAAGAATCTGTTTACTAATATATATTTATATTTAAAATAATAAAAAAGAATTATATTTTTTACATTTTTATTCCTTATATTTGACAAATAGCCAACTTCGTAATTTTTTAAATTTTATTAAGCAAATTCTAAATTTTAATAATTTTATTAATCTTAACTTTAATTTAAAAACGGATGTCCTAAGCATTCACTAGCCGAAAATCTTTCGGAAGGATTAGACCTTAACATTTTTATAAGTAAATCTTTAGCATCTATAGAAACAGTATCAAGTTCAGGAATATCATATTATATATTACTTTCTCTATTAGCTCTTAGTATTGCTTTATAGTCTTTACCTTCAAATGGTTGTTTTCCTGTTAGCAATAAATAAAATATCACTCCTGCTGAATATATATCACATTTAACATCATAAAAGCTTCCTCCATCCTATAAAAGAGATAATAAAAATTAATAAATATAAAATTTAAATATACTTAATATGCTAAAACTTCTGGTGCTACAAAACCTGGAGTACCACATCTTTTAAATAAAATATTTTTAATATTAGTAAAAGTGGCCAGTCCTAAATCTGCAATAACCAAATCATAATCATTTTCTTTTGATTTTAATAAAAGATTTTCAGGTTTTAAATCTCTATGCATAATTTATTTTTAATGCAAATATTAAAGCCCTAATAATAAATTTCTTATCAAATTTTTTAAATCAGATTCTTTTATGGTTTTTTTTTCCCTTAATCTATGTAAAAGCTCCCCTCCATTAATAATATCGACTACAAAATATATCGAATTAGCTGTTTCATATACTTCATATAGATTTATTAAATGCTCATTTCTTAAATTTCTCATTACAACTAATGATTATATATATATATGTATTTAAATAAAAATAGGTTTTTGTACTTATTTCATTTATTAAGGATTCTTTACCTTTGTGTTAATTTAACATAAATTCTTTATTAAAAGCTTTAATTGCATATTATTAATTATTTTATTTTTTTGTTGCTAAATAAACCTTTGCAAAGGAACCTTTCCCAATAATTTTTGTGACTATAAAATCTTCGTGAAAGTTTTACTAAATTGCATTTAATGTTATAACATTTCTCCATTCTTTAAATATCAATTGATCGTCTGTATATATTTCAATGTATTTCCCGTTTCTAATTAATCGAAATCCTTACATTAGAGACGTTTAATTAAATTGTTTTATGTCTATATTTTCTAGAATGTCTAATTTACAACAATTAAGATTCAAAAAGCCTTATATTTTTTCAGATTTCTCACTTTTGGATACATATAAGTTCGAGTCATCTATATAATAATGTCTTGTCTTTAATTTTTATTTAGATTTGCTTTTTTTATAAAATTTGGACTATAATAAAAATATTTTTTTGTTCAGAATTTCTTAATCTTTAGTTGGTTTTTGCCATATTTTTTTTGTTTGCTATTTATTTTTATCACTGTCATCAAAAAAAGAAGTTAGTTTAATACTTGTATTTAAAAAAAAAATATACAAATATATATATATATTTTTTAAACTTTTTATCGACTGTAGGATATTTATTTATTTTACTACCCATTAATAATATATATATATATGTATTTTAATTATTTTATTATTTAATTTTATTATTATATAATAGTAATTTTGCTTATATATATATAATATTTAAATAAACATACTATATGATTTAGTGAATACCTTTAATTTTAATTATTTTATTAAGTTAATTTATTAAAAAAATAAAAATTATTAATTTTATTAAAAAAAAAAAAATATCATAATAATATAAAATTCATTTTACTTAAAATATATATATATAAAAAAAATATTTAATAGATAAACAAAGTAAATTTATTAATATAATATTAAACAAACAAAAAACAATAAATATATATATATTAAATTATATATGCTTAATTTTATAAAAAAAATATTTTTCCAAATAAATTAATATGTATATGTATCATTCTTAATCTTCATCGCCCCTTTTTTTAGACCATTTAACTCTTTTTCCATTAACCCATTCACCTTCTCTTTCTTATCCATTAGAACCTATATACACTCCAATTCCATGTTATTTGCCATTTTCCCAATTTCCTTAATATTTTCTTCCATCAGGCCATTCAAAAATACCATAACCATGCTTTCTTTATAAGATTTAATTTAAAAAAATAATTTATATATATATATATATATGTATATATATAAAATACTTATCATCTAAATATTCACCATCATATTTTCTACCGTCAGCCCATTAGAATTTTCCTTTACCATCCCTTTATTTATTATATAAAAACAATAAATATACATTTAAAATTAATAAATGATAATAACTATTTATATATTTTAAGATAAATATTATATATTTATTTTATTAATTAAATTATTTATTAAAAAAATTACATTAATTTAATTATATTTTTATAAATAAATAAATACAAATTTCTTTTTATAAAAATTTACATTTTATTATTATTCCACTCACCATCATATTTTCTTCCATCTGCCCATTCATAAGTGCCCTATCCATGTATCTATTATATACATAAATCTTTAAACAAAAATAAAATTTAAAAAATACATTATTATTAATAAACTATCCTGTATATTTAGATCCATCAGCCCAGAAAAAAGTACCCAGCCCATGTTTTTTTCCAACATCATAATGTCCATCATACTTAGCTCCATCAGGCCAAGTTTCAACTCCATATCCATTTTATTTATCTTCATACCATTCTCCATCATATCTAGCTCCATCAGTATGATCATAGAAACCTTTTCCATGTGCTTTATCGTTTTTCCATTCTCCTTCATATACATCACCATCTGCATGAATTAATCTACCTTTTCCATTTGCCATATTATTTCTCCAATATCCTTATTTTATATTGTTTTTATATAATGAAAAAATAATTGCAAATATATATATATATATATATATATATATATATATATATAATATAATATATTTTGAATTTCAAATTTAATTTAATTTAAAATAAAATAAAAATATTACCTTCGTAAAAAGAACCATCTGACCAATATTATTTACCCTTTCCATTTCTTTTATTTATATTTATTTTTGTTTGTTTTATTTATTTATATATATATTTTTACCTTTATCCGTTTTTCCATTATCCTATATAAACAGCTTAATTTTCAAATTCATATGGTCCTAAAATCGGCAAGGACTTATCTTCATCAAAATCTTAATCAAATTAGAATTCTCCGCACTTTTCATATGATTTTTTAGTCGCAATGTTATCATAATTAGGTACTTATGGTATTCTTTTGGCTATAATAGGATTCGGTGCATGAACTTATTATAACTCTTCTAATTATTGAACTTTATGTTTTTATTATTCTTATTTATTAACTAATTAAGATTCAAAGCATTATTTTTTTTAATGATTTTATTCCTATATTTCTTAATTATTTTATTATTCTTCTTGTGTTTGTTCGATTTTATCTACGGATTTTGTATTTACGTTATTTGCTTTTACAGTTACTTTTTCAGCCTTACTTGTATGTTAGTTTATGTTTTAATTATCATCTATTACTATTGATTGGTCCGGATTTTAAGGATATACATAAACTTCGCCTGCTTTGTCTCCTTATGGACCTCCTGCACAACAATTATTTCCCATTTATTTATTTGTTTGTTATTATTTTTTTGTTCTTTTTATTTTGATTTGCTTTATTTATTTATTTCTTTAAAAAAAAAAAAAAATTCTTATTCTCTTTTTTTTCTTTATATTAAAAGTTATTTTATAATATAAAAATAAAGGTTATGGTATTTTTTTTTTCAAAATTAAGCAAAAAAATACAATACTGTATATTTTTCTACTTAAAATTTATTATTTTTTGTTTGTTTGTCTGTTTACTATTTAATGTTAATTTTATTTTGATTTATTCGTTTGAAATATATAATATTAAAATTAAATTTTTAATAAATATAGATTATATTAATTAATTTTTTTTTTTTTTAATAAAGAAATATATAATAAATAACTAATATTATTAATTCCTTATTGTATAATACAAAAAATACAAATAAATATATATATATATATATATAATAAGTATATTTTTTTTTTATAAATATCACTTAAAATTAATCTATGTTTATGAATTTCCATTTTAATTATTTTATTATTACTATTAATTCTACTGTCTTCCTAATAGCTAACTTTATCCTCCTTGACTAACTTATTAATTCTATTATCCCAACCCAACTCCTACACTAAGATCTTTTTGCAACTGCTTTGTTTTAAACGGCGGAATATTCTAAATATGTGAATTATAGATATTTTCGATATCATTTTCATTTTTCATTCTAATTTTGTTTCTTTCCATTTCTTCTTTGGATAGATCCGAATCTGGGTATGCATCTTAATACCTATCAACTATATCCTAATCTTCTAAATATATACCTGGTAATTAATTTCCTAATGTAAGCCATCCAGGCATAGTATTATGCGGTCTTCCAAAAAGTTCGATTTTTTTACCACCTGGACTCAATCTTTCTATCAAATTATAAATTTCATCTGGTTTTCGACTAGTTTCCCTTACTTCAGATACTATTACATCACAGTCCACTTTTCTATTCAATTTAGGATTTCCTTTTATTCCAACCAAACAGTGTTCTTTAGAATGATTTAACCAATGACCAGTCCTACCAGTCCTTATAATTCTTTAAAGTTAATTGGTTTTTATCCATATTACTTCCTCAACTCTCTTATAACCCCAGTTTATTAAACATTCCCTTCCTAATTCCATAGCTCTTCCTGTTACCCATAAAAATATAAAACCTTCTTCTTACAAAATATCTACTCTCATAGCTTTCATTTCTCTATCCTAATATTATATAAATATATAAACAAAAAAAAATTAATATATATATATATATATATATATATATATATATATATATATATATATATATATATATATATTTATATTCATATTCATATATATACATATACAAATATATTTTTACTTTTAATGTCCCATAAGGCAAAGTCATATGTATATCCCATGGTGGATCAGCCATTATGACATTAAATTTACCTAAAATATTGAAATCAATATATCTCAAATCACAATTAATCCATTATGGATTTAATCTTTTTTCATTTTATTCTTAAATATTATCTGTATTTAAATTATACATATCAACATCTAAAACATAATGTACAAATTTACAATAATCCATATGTCTACAAGTATCTAAATAAGAACAATTTCCTAAATTCTCATCAGTATGTGGTCTAATAATTTTTTTAAAATGTGATTTAGTACACGGGACGTTTGTATTTCGAGATTATTGGCATTTTTCGCGAGTACCAAAATCACAATAATCAATCCTTTTAGAGCCTTATTTTCGAAAATTAGCAAGGGCAAGTTCTTCAGCCGCTGAAATTTTATTTAATAAATTACTTTTTTCTTTACTCATATTTATTACTTCTTTTTATAATCCCGTTTTTTTATTTAATAAATCTTCGATTTCCTAAAAAAATATAAATAATAAAATAAATATAAATACATATAATAAATATACATTAAAATTTATAAAAATATATATTTTAAATATATATATAAATATATATATATATATATATATTATATATATATATATATATATATACTCTTTTTGACATTTAAACTTATTTAATAGAATTTAATGAATTTTATTAAGATTAATTTAATATTTATTTATTATTATTATTAATTTGTAAAGCTTTTTTATCTAATGTAGGCATACATTTAGGTTTATCTTTTGAAAATTCTCTTGAGAGCTATTTTATTTTTTCTATATTTAAATCAATAATGAAATCATATAATTAAGTTCCTACTGCATATTCTTATATTTTTATTGCTTTTTTGTCATGAAGTTCTTATAAAATTGGTTTTAATTCAATTTTTTTTATAAAAAAAGAAGAATCTTTAATATGAGAAAATGCTTCTAAAATATTTTCTAATAATTCAACTGAATGTATTGGATAATCAAATAAATCACTAATAAAATAATCTAATAAAATTACCCGAAACTCTTAAGTATTTTAAGGGGGAAACTCCAAAAAATTATATTTTATAGTCTATTAAGGAATTTATGGCGGTAGAGGGATTTTAGATTAAATTTAATGCTTTATTTATAAATTATTTGTATTATATTAGTATTATGGAAATAATTGGTTTTAGAAATTCGAAAATTAAAGCTGGGCAGCGAGTTGGTTGGGTTTTTCTGGACTTTCTATTGATTCTTAAAATTTTTCAAATTCATTTTGGCATTTTTTTTTATTTTTTTCTTATTTGGATGAACCCATATATTTATATTAATATTATTTTTGTTTTTTGTCTTTTTTGAAAATAATTATTAATATATATTTTATATAAATAATAATATCTTAATTTCATTTATTTTGAAATTAATAGAAATTATTATTATTTTTTTTTTAAAAAAATTTATAAAAATTTAATTTTTTTATTATTAAAATATATTTTTTTTAGTTTTTTGTATAAATTTAATTTTTATAATTTATTAATAAAAAAATAAAATGTCAATGCCAAAAATTAGCTAGGAATAAAATCCGTTAAAATACTGTTAAAAAAATAATAAAGAGTTGCAATAAATAATAGAAATTTATAAAAAATTATAAAATAAAAAAAAGACAAAAAGTTATGAAGCAACTCCAATAAAAAAAACATTAGAAATATTAAAAAAAGCTAGATTGCCATACGAAAAACCTTAAATACAAAAAAATGCATAAAAAATACGTTAAATAGCATAAGAATTTAAATATTCTAAATGGTTATAACTTCGAGCTGAAAAAGAAAGTAAGAAAGAATTAGAATATATAAACAAAAAAATTGAAAATAAAAAATTGAAAGCATAAATAGAAAAAGGATAAAAGAAAATTTTAGAAAAAAAACTATAAGCTTTAAGATTAGCTTAATTAGATAATAAATAAAAAAATAATACAGTATATATAAAAAATAAAATATATATATATATATATATTATATATATATTTATATATATATTATATATATATATTTCTTTAATTTTAAATTTATCATTAAAATAATAAGTTTAATTATGTAAAGATGGAATAATAAAAAGAAATAAATCAAAAATTTTAATAAATTAAAAATTAGAGAAATGAATAAAAAGTATATATGTCTTTATTAAAAAATGTTATTTAATAAGAAAAAAATCTTGAAAAAGTCAAAGTTTAAAAAATATCTCAAATAAATGATATGTCTGTAAAAGAATAGTATGATCATTATACATATAGAAATCAAATTAAATGCAAATAAATATAAAACCAAAGAGAAGCTACAAGATATAAAATTTAAATGTATAAACAATAAAAAATAGATTAAGTTCGTAAATAGAATTATATGTAAATTAATTAATCTGATAAAACAATTTCTTTAGCAGAAACTTATATTTCTATATTAAAATAAGAAGAAACAAAAATTAATCAAATGTTAAAATAATCTAAAAATGAAAATATCAATTTTAAGTCAGAAATAGGAGTTATTTTGAATAGTATTAAAAATAAAAGTGTCTATAGAAATTCCAGTTTACATACAGTTAAATAAAATAATTTTTAGTTTGAATTAAATGCTAATAATAATAAATATATAAGGTCATCCTCTAATTATGTTAATATTAGTAATAAAAATATAAATTTATGAATTTTTTATATAAAAAGATAATTTTTTTGACAAATAATTAATAATAATTTATATTTTTTATTATATAATTAAATATTATAGAATATTTTTAAATAATATTAATAATTATATTAATTAATTTTATAATTTTTGTTATATTAAAATAAATATCTATTTAATTATACAATAAAAGTAAAAATTTATTTATTAAATTTTATTATATTTTTTTTTTTTCTAGAATATATTAATTTTTTTTTAATAAAAATTAATAAAACTTTTTATATAAATATAAATATAATATTTTATAAAAGAATAAATAGATATATATATATATACTAATAAAAATAATATCATAATTAAAATAATTAAATAAATCATTAAAATAATTCATTTAATTAATAAAAAACAAAAATATTTCATATTAAAAAAATATTTTAAAATTAATCACAAGAAATATTACATTCAATTAATAAAAAGAACAATATAATTAGAAATCATTTTTTCCAATATTGTTATATGAATTAATATAATAAATAAATATAATTATTTATCAATAAAAATTCTTTATATATATTAAATTCAATCAAAATAAAATCGCAATGCTCTTTTCATTTAAAAATGATGTTATTAAAACAAAAATTCAGGATGTTCCAAGTCAATATGTTAAGGAGTGATTAATTATTAAATGCTTTATTATTATTCTGGTTTACCAAAATTATCAATAATTTAAAATATTTTCTTAAATTTCGACATATTCCAATTAACAGAAATAAATAAAGCCTAACATTCCGTATATATAATTCCTTAATTATCCTCTACAATAGCCTTAAGGAATATTTTTTTCCCCTAAATTTTTTCTATTGAACATTTAATAATATACTCCTATTAAACTTTCATTGGTTTCTTGTAATTTATATTTAAATTAGCTGTAACACAAGGCTACAAACCATTAGATAAAGTGGCTAAATATCCAAATAAATTATCCAATAAAGTAGCTTAGAAGCCCCCATGTACTATATTATTATGTCCTTAAACTGATTTATTAGCCGAGAAAATACAAGTAAGTTTACATTGTGAAATTTTTTCTTAGTTTATAATATTTTCATCGTTTTCATTATTTTTTTTAAATATATTATCTAAGAATTCCAAAGGAAAAAATATTTTGTAATGAAGAAATCCATTATTTTCTTTCAAAATAAGCTTTTCAAGAAATTATTCATTATTAAAATAGCTTAGGTATTTATCATAAAATTTAGGGTATATAAATTTGTTTTCTTCTAAGTATTTTTAGAAAGCAGGCTCGTTTGAGTTTATAGTTTCATTTAAGTTAATATATTTTATATTTAAAAAATATGAAAAAGATGAACCAGCTAAAAAAGCGACTGAATATTTTAAGGTTTTTTTAAAAAATGGCATTTTTATGTTATTATTATATATAAAAAAAAATTAATATATACATATTAAATTAATCAATTAAATCCATAAATAAATATTATTAAATTTTACAATATATTAATAAAAATTTTCTAATTATAATTTAAACAAAAATAATATAAAATAATTTGAGTTATGGATTTTATTATAATTTATTATATCTTATTTTATATATGCCTTATTTTCGGATAAAAACTAAAATATATATATATATATAAATAATATATTTATTTTTACTAAAATTTAATTATATATAAAATTTAAAATATAAAAACTAAATTTAACTAATAAAAATAGAATCTTTTATTTTTTTAGAAAAAAGTCTTTACATATGTTATAATTTTTTTTTTTTTATTAATAAATATATTTTTATATATGTGTTATAAAAATAGAATATATATAGTTTATTAAATCTAATAAAAATATCATAATAAATTATTTTAAATAAATATAAATAACGATACTAATATATTGCTTATCTTGATAAGATTACAATATTTAAAACATAAATAAAAATATTAATTTTTTTTTGAAAAACAAAATTATAAAAAAAATCAAAAATAATAAAAATAAAAATAATAAGACATATTTATCATATAAAAATAAAATGGAATTTAAACCAAATCAAAATAATAATATATAAGAAACAATTCCCCCAGAATCCCTAATAATATTATTTTTATTCGCCAGTTTAGGCCTATCAGCTTTAATCCGTGAAATAAACAAAAAAACAGGAATTCCATACGCCCCAATGTTATTTGTAATGGGTATAATAGTTGGAAAACTAGCCGACAATATGGGTATAATAGGTGAATCAATAAATAATATTAAAAACATAAACCCTTAAGGCATTTTAATGATATTTCTTCCTATTTTAATATTTGAAAGTGGCTTTAATAGTGATTGGCATTCCTTTAAGAAACAATCAGGTTAAATATTTCTTTTAGTATTTCCTTGTGTATTTCTTTCAGCCTTATTTATTCTTATATCTATAAAAATAATACTATAATACGACGATACATATTATTCGTGGAAAGGAGCTTTTATGTTCGGATCTATTCTTTCTTGCACAGACACAGTTTAAATATTAGCTTTATTAAAAGAAGTCGGAGCCATAAAAAAATTCAAGTCTTTAGTTGAAGGTGAAAGTCTTTTAAATTACGGAACTTCAATTATTTTATATGAAATTTCAACTAAATTATTTAAAAATGAAGTACATTAAGATATATATATATACGTATTTATTATATTATATTTTTTTTAAGAATATGAATATTTTTGAAATTTTGAAATTGTTTTTTACATTGTTTTTTGGTGGAATTTTTTTGGGAATTTTTATTGGAGTTATAGGTTAATTTTGGATCAAAAAAATACATAATGATCCTATTTTAACTGTAAATGTGACTTTTATTTCATGTTATTTATGTTATTTTTTTGCCGAAAATATAGATTTTGGTTTCTAAATTTCAGGTGTAATGTCTTTAGTGTCTTTAGGTTTATTTTTATCTATTTTTGCTAAACCAAAAATTTCTTTAGAAGAGGAAAAAGTAGTCCTCATTTTTTGGAAATATGTGGTTTTTGCAGCTGAATCTGTCATTTTTTTGCTCGCGGGAATTCTTATAGGAGTTTAAGTTTTGACAGATAGTTCCCTTTTGTATGATATAAACGGTTAGTAGATCAATGATAAGTAAACTATTATCTTCGGGGACTACTTTAGACTATTTGGTCTTTATTTTTGTATGCTTTTTAGTAGATTTGCATCTATTACGTGTGTTGTGAGATGGTTGAAGAAATGGGGCTACGGGATCACGTGGAAGGAGGTTTATATGCTTAGTTTTGGTGGATTAAGGGGAGCTGTGGGTATATCCTTTGCCATTATAGTTGCAAATGATGATTATTATCCTTAGAAATTTCGAGATATTGTACTTTTCGATATGGCAGGGAATGCGATTTTAAGCTTGATTATAAATGGGACTATTACAGGTCCTTTAATTAAGGGTTTAGGCCTATGTGTGAATTATAATATAAGGGAAAAAGTGTATTTAGGATTTTTATAGAACCTTAAATTAGAGAGTGAGAGGAAGATTTAATTTCTGAAAGGAAATTCTTACTTGAAAATGGTAAATTGGAATATTTTAAAAGACTTAGTTGGTTTAGAAGATTTTCATTTGAAAATTAAGTAAATTTAAGAAGAAGTTCAAAAAAGGGAAAAAGAAGAAGCCTTAGCTAAAAAATTAATTGGAAAAAACGAAATAGTTTAAATTGAAATGGTAGAAAACTTATTTTCGACAAAAGATTAATAAAATTTATAATAACAATATGAGCTTTTAGAAAATAGTGATAATGAAGAAAGCTCGGAAATTCAAAATTTAGATAAAGACAAGATTATTGAAGCAAGAAATAGATTTTTATTAGCCTTAAAAGGTATTTATTGGATTTAATATGAAAAACATTAATGTAGTTCTAGTACTTTATTACTTCTTTTAGAAAGCGTAAACTGGGATTTAGATGCTTAAAATGAAAGTATGAATAGTTGGGAGTTTTTATATAATTATTTCCATAATCCATATTATATATAGATACTTTTTTAATTATAAGTAGTTCCTTTTTTCAGAAATAAAACATCCAATCTACTTTTTAATTAAATTGCATTTATATATGATGTAGTTACTACTTATATAGAAGCTCATGAGACTGTAGAAGAAATTTAGAAAGAATTTCCTATATCAGATTAAATAAAGGGCTTGATTTCAAAGGAAAGCTTAAATAATAGAACTTCTGGTCATCAATATATAGTTGATTATATTAAAATCTCTTTTCCGGAAATTAAGAAATAAACTTAAACGAAAAAAGCTGCTTTTTCTCTACTTGAAAAATAAATGAAATTAATTTAGGATTCAGTTAGATTTGGTCATATAGATGATAAATAATTTCTAGAGTAAAAAAAAAATATCGAATAATTACAAATTTAGCTTGAAAATATACAACCTTCATGGAAATTGCCTCCAAAGAAATAATTTCTGATAGAATTTGTCCCTTTTTTTTAGAAAATACCGGAAAAAATTCTCGATAAAATAATAGAATAAAGTACCGAAATAATCATAGAAAAAGACTAATATATAATAAAAGAAGGTTAAAAAGCTAAATTTTTATATATAATTACAAGAGGCTGTGCCACAGAAACATGTTCTAAGACATTCTATACATATAACGAAAAAAAAACAGTTTCTGATGTACTTTTTCATTACTAATTAGTACTTTAAAATATGAGATATGTTAGTTCTTGTATGGCAGATGCTGTAGTATACGTTTTAGCCTTTCCACTTGAACCTTTATAAAAGGTGGCAAAGTTTAATTTGGAAATTGAAGAACTTGTTTGGTAGTAAAGTCTTAGAGGACTTTCATAAATGTTTTATGATTAACTTTAACCTTTGGGAAATTTAAATAAATAAATGTGTGATGAAGTTATTTAGAATTCTTTTATTAAAAAATATACGTAATAATATAATAAAAACAGATAAATAAATATTATTTTTATTATAGTTCTAAGTAAATTATCGATTGCTTTAACGGTGGAGTACTTTTAAAAGGAATTGTAAAAGGTAGAGATATATAAAATGAATTTGTAAATAAATTAAAAAATGTAAATAATATTTAAAATATTGGAAAATAAAATACATATAAAGTAATACTAATTTAAAATATAAATATAATAATAGAATATATATATATTATTATATATTTATATTTACATATATATATATATATTTATTATTTTTATATTTTTTATATATTAATAATAAATTTTTTAGTCTTTTAAATTTTTTAAACCTGGATAAGTAAAATAATTATTAACTGATAAAAAATGTATATTTATGCATTTTAAAAATGAATGTGAAATAATAAAAAATATTTTTTAAAACTATGAATATATATCTAATTATTCATATATTTAATAAATATAAAATAAAAAATAAAAACTATAAAACATATATGTTTCTTAATATAAATAAAGATTTGCTGGTGTAAGAAATCCTTAAATAACAAGTTTAAACCTAAATAAATATTTCAAAGTTGAAAAAGAAGAAGATAATTTATAACAAATATAATAATCAAATTCTTTGTTATAAAAAGTAGAATCTAAATAAAAACTTTAGATAGATTAATTACAAGAAAATGAAGATAAAGACGAAAAATAAGAAAATATTGAATAAAAAAGAGAAAGTACACATATATATAATAAATTTGACTTAGTTTTTGCTATAAATCCAAATAATATATGAAATTTAAACATTATTTTATTTTGAATTTTATTTTATATAAAAAATAAACAACTTTATATGAAATACATATTATATCTCTTTATATAGTTTTCATTTTTTCTTTTTAGTTTTCTTTTTTTTGTCTTACTTTTCTACTTATTTTTCTTCATCAGCTTTTTTTTATTCTTCTTCATAATCATCATCATCTTCATTATCAGAATTTTTTTGTTTTTTTTTATTTTTTTTGTCTTCTATTTTCTCTTCTTATTTTTCTTCTTTTTATTCTTCTAATTCAACAACGTCATCATCAGAATTTTTTTTTTTTTCTTTCTTTTTTTATTTCTTAAATCCTGGTTTCTACATCTCTTTTTCAATAATTTTATTATCATATTATTCATTACTAACTAAATTCTTCATTTCGACAAATTCTTACGGATCATCTTCATCTTATTTTTTTTTCTCGTCCTTTTTTTTCTTAAAAACATCTTTAACATTCGTAAACTAAAAAAAAATAAAAAATAAATAAATTTATATATAAATATAAAAATAAAAAATGAGTAAATATATAAAAAAAATTATAAATATATATATATATATATATATATATATATATATATGTATATATTTATATATTTTTATTTATATATATACTAATTTTGAAAATTTTCCTGCTGGACTTCCATTATTTTTATTTTTTTAATTTTCCTCATCTTAATCACTTTCACTACTATTACTATCTCCTTCACTGCTTTTATCTTCTTCTGGTGTTTCATAATTATCACCTTGTTCTTTTCTTTTTCTTCTTCTTTCTAATTTTTCAATCATTTTTTTTTCTTTTTCTTCTTTTTTTTATTTTTTTTTTAGATTTTTTTATATTCTATCAACTTTTCTTTTTATTTTTTTTTCATTTTCAGTTAAATCTTTATCTTATTTATCTAAAAGTCTTTTATTTAAATTAAAAAATTCAGGATCTGCCTAAAAAAGCATTAAATCTTCCCTTTCTTCATCAGCCCTTCTTTCAGCATAACTTCTCCACTAATAAGTTATCCCAATAAAAGCCACGACAATAATTAAAGCAAAATAAAGGTAAAACATAGAAGGAACAGACGAAATATTCCCATATTTTATATCTTTTGCAATCTAAAGTTCATTCGGAAAGCTTCCTAATATCCATCCAAAAGGTCTTACAATAGCATATGCGCCAACTACTCCAGTACACACCATTACGCAGTGTTTGTAAAAACAACACGATAAAACACCCATTAAAACTGCTAAAACAGCTATCGTAAGCCACAGTACAATGAAGTTATTTGTCAATTATATTTTGTATAAAATCGCATTATTTAACAATAAAGCTATAACTACACCTAACCACATCCCGAGACAAAAAAAACCTATCTTAGGTATCGTTATAGTAACATATCCTACCAAAACACCAAATAAAACTGCAATAATAAGACTTGCATAGACCATAACAGACTCACTATCATATCTAATAACAAATTCTCCCATTATAGCAGTCAAAATACCAAATCCTGAAAAATATCCAACTACAAATAATGTTGGTTTAAATATTCTCAAACCAAAAAAACACTCAATTACACCGATAATAACAAATACAATAGTAAATATAATCTAAAAAAAAATATTAAATTAAATAAAAAAATATATTAAATAAATAAATAAATAAATATATATATATATATATATATATATATATATATATATATCTTTTTTTATATAAATATATATATATAATAAAGGTTTATACCTATTTATCAGACAATATTTACCACATTTTAGATACTTGTAAAATAGGGCATCCATATTATGAACGCGCTTTAAATGAATATATATTTTTATTGCCTTTTTCATCTGTCAGTAATTGCCAACCATCAATAACTATATTTTGTTTTTCTTATTTATCGCATTAAATCACAAATTCTATTCCATATCTTATTTTAGAATCATCTTCACTGTCATCTAATATTCTACGATTTCCTTAAATATTTTAACCATCTTATTAATTAAGATTATTTTAAGGAAGAACAACAGCAGGTCTAGCGGGACTAGGAACTCCATATAAATCACCATGAAATAGACTATAAACAACTCCTTTTTATGGTTTATTTTCATCAATAAATTTATACGAATAATATTAGAATTCAGAATTACTTGCTAAGTTTCTACATTCTACATTATTTTCGATTCTTTCAAAAAAAATATTCGCGTAAGTTTTTACAGTTTTATCCTTATTATCTTAGCCTACTTTTTTTTAATCTGATGAACATAGGTTTTATTTAACTCTTGTACAAAAATTAAAATTTAATGTCCCTATTATTTCAACATTTTATGCATTAGATTACTAATTTTCTTATTATGAATAATTTCCACCATTTATAGGCATTCTATATTGATAATCATTAGTATTTTCTAATAGACTTAAGGTAAAATATGTGTCCCAACCGAATAATTAGTGACATACGGTACCTTTTTAGAATGTTTAGTTTATTAAAGTTAGTAATATGAGAATTATTTTAATGATAAATTACATTTATCTGTTTTAATAATTATATTTCCTTTTTTTCTAATATTTATTTAGGTTTTAAAGTCAAAATATTTATTAAAATTATTTTCTTATTTTTTGATTTTTTATATATTTTTTTTTTAAATTAAATTTTTTATTACAAATAATTTATAAGCTCATTATATATATAAAAATCTATTCATAAATATAATATATAAATAAAAATTTATTTATAAATAAAAAATATTATAGATATAATTTAAAATTAATAATAAATAATAATAATTTAATAGAAAAATAATTTTTATATTATTAATATAAATATATATATATATGTATATGTATTATTTTTAAATATAATATTTAAAAAGCATATTAAAATATAAATATTTCATTATTAATATCTTTATATTTAATTCAATATTTTTTAAGATTAGATTTATATTTATTTAACTTAATTTTAATAATTCTATAAAAAAATAATAAATAAAACTTTATAAATAATAAACCTATTCGATTTCTTTAAATTTATTATTTAAAATGTCCTGAAGTTAATTTATATCAACTTCAGCCTATTATTTTATAGTTTAATACCCATCTAATTCTTAATACATACATTAAAGTTAATCAAAAGACCCTTCTAATTCATCTATAAGATTTTTAAGATTTGGAAGTATTTCATTTTCTACATAACAAGTATTATCTAAAATTTTAATCTCAATTTGTAATTTATATTAAATAATTTAATTAATTTTATGAATTCTTTACTAAAAAATATTGTTTAAATGTTTAAATATTTAAAATATTAAATTTATATATATGAATATATATATATATATATATATATATATATATATATATATACATATTATAAATTTATTTACTTAATGCTAATTAAATAATAAATCAAAAAATTATTATTTTCTATCTTTAATTACTCCTTATAAGCATTCTTTTCCATAATTTTTTTCTTGCTACTAAAAATACTAAATATTATTATCATAATATTACTAAAATATTATTTCAGATTATTTATGTACATTATTTTCTAAATTAGCATTTAAGCATTATATTTCTTGATTTATTTATTTTATTTATATTTACATTTATTCGATTAATTACTATATATATAATTTGCTTTATTCATTTTGATTATTTTTTTCGTTTTATTAATATTCTTAATTCTCCTACATATTCTAATTAATATCTAATATTTTATTTTTAAGTTCTTGTACTTTATTTATATATTCGTATTCCTCTGGATAATTAATCATATATTGATCTAAATATTATTCCATTTCTTCTTTTTATGCTAATAATTCAGCTCTCTATATTAATTTTCCATTTAATTCTTCTTTTAAGAATGATTTAGTTTCTAAATCCTATATAAATAAAAAATAATATATATATAAAAATATATATATATATATATATATTACTTGATTTCTCTATTCTTATAACAAAACAAGATTTTAGATAAATTCTTCATATTAAATTGTAACTTCTTGATACATTTTAACTAATTAATTGTTTTTTTATCAAATTCTTCTTTAATTTCTTGAATTTTTTTATCTTTATGTATTTTCAACATTTATTCTTATTTTTTTAAGCTTTATTTATAAACAATTTTTTTATTCATTTTTTTTTGGTTTTTTTTGGTTTTTTTTTTTACGTCTCAAATTAATATTACAAATCCTGCATTAATTTCGGATTTTAATCTTTTTAATAATTTTTTATTAATATTTTTTATATATTTTATACTTTAATTTTATTGCTATTAATAAAATCTATTGTCCATTTTTTCGTTTATATATTTATTTTATTCTATATGATATATATATATATATATATATATATTTTTTTTACCCTAAATATATTTTTTATTAGATTAAAATTATAAAATTATAAATATTATTTATTATATAAATAATTATAATATTAATATATATTTTATAAAATCTATTAAATATTTTATAATAAATAATTAAATAATAAACCCTTCCTTCCCCCCTCTCTCTTTTTCAATGAATAAATAAATATATATTAAAAAAAACAAAAATTCAATTTATTATTATTTAAAATACACTTCAATAATCCTATTACTAAACCTCCCTATATTAATTATTCCTTTCCTCATCAATCATCCTATTCGGATGAAAGAAAATACAAATCGAAAACACCATTAAGCAAGCAAAAACAATAGAAACAATCCAAAAAATCATTCCAAATAAAGTCCCATAGATTTAAATCTACACAATCCCACTTTCAAAGCAACTTTTATCACTTTTTGGAGCTCCCCTATTAGAGTCTGAAAAAACATAAATAGGATAAGGATCACAAACTCCACTGCAATCAAAAAAATTTTCTATAGACCCTAAAAGTGACGAAATTTCTCTCCCATTATTTTCCATTCTATATATATATATATTCTCATATATATTTATTATTTATTTTACTATAAATCAGATAACATTTATTCATATTAAGGACATTACATAACATTATGATATTCACTATTTTCGTCATAATCGATTTTACTAAAAAGTGGGTTTTTTTTATATTCGTTTACATTTTATATACTACATTTGCATTCTTTAGTTCCAAATAATTAAGTTGCCTTTATGAATTATCTCTAATAAGGAAAAATAACTTCTGATCTTTTACATGCCCTTGTATCAGTTTCATAATAGGTCGTTGCTTGTAAAATTACTATGAATGAAATTGCAAATATAATACAGTATATGAATATTAAACATGTTCCGAATATAAAAAAGCCTTATATAATATCGTTTCGGAAGTATTTTTGGTAAAAATAACCTATAAGGTAATAAATTAGGAGAAATATACCAGCTAAAAACCGGAATGTGTATAAAAAATACAAACCATCGAATTATTAAGTAACATTCTTTATTAAAGATATTATTAATAGTATAAATCCTAAAATTAATTAACTTATTCCAATATAAAGTATTCCTTTTAATGAATAATGAATAAAATTTCTTAAAAAATCGATTTTAAGTAATAATTTCATTTCTTTGTTTATTTTTTTAAATAAATAAATTTTTATAAAAACATATTTTTTATTTTTTATTTTTAATTTTTTTTTTTTTTTTCAAAAAAGATTAAAAACATAAAAAAATCGTTTTCGATTTAAATCGTATTTAATATAATTATATAAAACGATTATTTTTCTTAAAAAAAAAAAAAAAAAAAAAAAAAAGTATATTGAATTTATTATATAAAAAATAAAATAAAATAAAATTCAATTTTCATTTTCAAAAATATCCCTTAAATCATTTAAAGTGATTTTTCCTTATTTATCAGCCCTAATATTTAGGCATTCTTCTAATATACTAATATCTTTTTAATCCAAATCAGCATATCCTAAAACTGAAAAAACTTTTTGAAGTCTTCCCATATCAATAGCCCCTGTTTTATTAGGATCTAAAAGGTTAAAAGCCTCTTATAAAGGATCAAAGTTCTCTAATTCATTTTATTTTAATAATTCAAAAAGTTCTTTTGATTTTATTTCTGCTTTTCCCTGTGTTAAAGCTGGAATTTCATTAAGAGGAAAATTAGGGTTTAAAACAGGAATTTTCTTTTTTAATTCCTAAAGGGATATTTTTGACCCTTAATTTTTTTCGTCTAATATTTTAAAGGCTTTTTCAATATCTTCTAAAGATATTTTTACGCCTTCAACTTTTTCCTTTTCAGCAGGAAAATTTAGATCTATTTATATTTTTAAAAATAAAAAAAATAATTATTTTAAGTTTAACTTATAAGGCCTGCATCTTCTAAAGCTTTGAAGTTTACCATTTCTTTATTTTTAAAAGGAGACATCTATTTTAAAGGAGAAAGTTTTCCCGATAATTCTAATTACATTTATGCTTTTTAAAATTAAATAAGAGTTTTTTATAACTCTTTATAATCTAAGCCTTATGTTAAATTAATTGCTGATTATGTAATATTTTATTTATTTTTTTAATTTGATAAGTTTTTTGATTGCTGTTATTATTAAGTTTATTTTTCCATTTTTTTTTTAAATTTTTATATTATATTTTTTAGTAATAGTTATAAATAATAATTTATATATTATAAAAATAATAATTATTATAAATATTAAAATAAAATTAATAATATATTCATAATTCAATATTTTTTTTATTAATATAATAATAAAATTTATAGTTATTTTTTTTTTATATATTTAAAAAAAAGATTTTTATATTTTAATTAACTTATATATAATTATATTTTTTTGTGTATATATAAGACTTAAATTATTCATAATTCCTTAACTATAATGGTTTATTAGTTAGAATCATTAAAAATTTCATGTATTTGTTTATTTTTAAGTTAAATTAAACTTAAATTAGAAAATGTTTAAACTAAATCAAAATAACTGTTATCATTTTCAAATTAAATATTATCATGTGATTATACAAAATCAAACAAAATCTAAAATAAATATATATATATATATATAAATATATATAAATATATATATATATTTATATATTAATATATATTTATATTAATATATACAAATATTTTATATTATTAATATATATTTTTTTATTATCAATTTTTTATTATTATTTTATTATTATATTTTATATTTATTACTAAAATTTATTCATTTTTTAAAAATCTTCTAATAACTCTACTTCCATTTGGAAATCTAAATGCAAAAGTTATTGCTTAACTATTGTTCTAATCAGGTTCTATCGGTAATTAATTTTTTTTATATTCTTTTGTTTATTAGATTTTTTATAATTATTCTTTTTTTTATTATTCTTTTAATATTTATTCTTATTATAATTATTATTTAATTAAAAGCTTTTGTTATTCGATTTCTTCTGCTTCTTTAAATGCTTGTTCCTATTATTATCTTAATATTCTATCTTATTAAATTTACAATTATATTAGCAATTATTATTATTATTATTATTATTATTATTATTATTAAAGAATTTAATCTTATAAAATATTTAAATTTATATTTTGATAATTATTATTAGTTTCTATTTAATATGTAATATTTTAATTTATGTTGCCTAAATGTTAGTTTTCTTAATCCATATAATAATTATTATTAATTGAACTCATTCTTATTTTATCATCTTCCTATATTTTGATTAAATATTGAGCTTTTAATACTTTTAAGATTTCTAGAATTTCATTTTAATCATTTTCAATTTTCTTTAATAATAATAAAGAATTAATATAAAAAAATAATAGTTTATACAGCTTTTCCTATTAATTCAGGTTTCTCATATAAACTTTTTTTAAATACTGCAAAACAAGGATAATCAGAAGGAGAAATAAATTCTTCTATATCTTATATAGTTTATGCTTCAGGTATTAATCCTAATAAAAAGAAGTTTTTATTCTATATTTTTTTTTTTTTTATTTAAAAATAAAAATAAAGTAAATAATAATTATTTTTTTATTCTACAACAAAAGTTCTTATCTAAGAATTATTTAATATATTTTTAATATTTATATTATTTTCTTAATAGATAAATAATAATAATGGATTTTTTTTTAATTAGCTTATTCTAAATTCTAAAAAAAATAAAAAGTTTATAAAAATAAAAAAGTTATACTTCTTTAAATTATCCATTTTTAAAATTAAAAGAATATGCGCAATTCTCATATTCTTTGTATATTTTACTTTTAAATTATTCACCTCCTTTTGTTTCTCCTCTGATAAATAATGGGACAAATGTTATCCATAAATTCTTTAATATTTATTAAACATATGTCACATAATATATAAATTATTGAAAAAAATCTTTTTAAGAATTTTATTTTTTAATTTTATGAACTCTTTGTACTAGTTAACTTATTATTAAAAGGGATTTAAATTTATTTAATTATTTATAGGTATTTCTATTGTATATATATAATTAATTCTAAATATATTTTATTTATTTATATTTTGTATAAAAACCAATGCTATTGTTTTATTCAAGTAAATTTTATTCTTAATCATGATTTTTGAAAAATAAAGTAATCGCATTCTTTTATTTTTATAAATATTTATATATTATAATTTATTTTCTTTTAGTAAAAACATTCATATTAAAGTTTGTTTGCTCCATATAATTTATAGCTGAATTAATATCTTCCATAGCAGTTATTTATAAAAAGTTCATTACTTAGTTTTTTTAGTCATCATTTAGTTAATCAAATTTATCATCCATATTAAAAAAAAAATATTATAATAAAATATTATTATTTAAATTAAATATTATTTATAAAATTATTAATTTTTTTAAATATATAAATGTATTATAATATTTATATTTATATTTATATATAAAATAAATAAATATATATATATATGTATATTATATTTTATTAATTATTTAAATTAAATTTGTAAATAAATATTTATTGTAAAAATAATTTGTGTGATATATAAAAAAACATAAATACCTTAAAAAAAAATATTAATAAAATAAAATTGAATTATTATAATATTTTAAATTTTTTTTTTCAAACATAATATTTTCATAAACTTAAGAATTTCTTTTATTTACTGCATTTAGATTTGAATGAAAGTCCTTTTGACATTTATACTAAACCAACGTTATTAGGTTTTCCTTAAGGAACTTAGAAAACGAAACCTTATTCTATATATGCACAACTATTAGCCTTGAAAATAAGTTATCTGATTTCACCAGGGAAGTTTTTATGGTTATAGCTTTATCCAACAAAGATTTAATAGAAATCATTATGATCATGTTTAATATTTTCGAAGACTTTAATAACAGGTAATTTTCTTTCTATTTATGTATATAAGTAGGCCTTTTGTAATTAGAAGGAGTAACCGAAATAAACATAAATCCATCTATCTTAATCACAATCTTCGAAAGGAATATTATGATAGTAGTTAGTATTAGAAGTGTTCAAATCATAAGTAGAGAAATGCATTATATTTCCAATAACCATGAATGCTAATACTCTGTCTCCGGGCTTTTCGTGATCACTTTCTTCGAATTTTCTAGTAGAAGTTAAATGGAAACCAGTGGCCCATTCTTTATTTTCGACTTCTGAAGAAACCTTGAAGTAACCTTCGACTGAGTAAGCTGAAATTTTATCACATTCGATATCTAAGGTTTTAGTTAAAGGACTCTATTCGAATTAGTAGAAGAAAGTTTCTTAAATAAGGATTGTATCAGAAATACATTCTTCAATTTTAATAATTTCAATTGAGGGATCTTCAGGTACAGGTACTACAGGGTCAGTAGGAATAGTTACTGGAGTTTATGGATGAGTAGGAGGCTATTTTTAAATTAAATATAATTAATAAATTTAAATATAAATATATCTATATTTACAATAGTAGGAGGAACAGTAGGGACATTAGTATTTGGGACAGTAACCTTTTAACAAGTTTCAGAACTTTTGAAAGATTCTTAATAAGCACCAGATCCGACATAGAAGGAAACATTTTTGATTTCACCAGGAAAGTTTCTGGAATTAAAAGATTAACCAACGAAAAGGTGATATACTGAAGAATCTTAATGAATAGCATTTTCGAGTATAAATTCAGATTATTTGAATCCGAAATCAATTAAACCGTATACTTTATTTAAAAGAGGAGAGAAAGCGTGATATACTTATATCCATTTTCCTTCGGTTCTACGAGAATCAAAGTTAACTTCAGATATGGCGACAACATTTTCGGAGTTAATGTCGTAAGTAGAAAATATTAATTTATTTCCATGTATTTAAAGAGCTAAAACTCTGTCACCAAATGAAGAAGAGTCTTCGGGGTTTTAGTTGGAGTTCAAGTGATATATAGTAGCAATATCATTTCTATCAATATTTTTACTTAATCGGAATTTTAATTATATGGCAAATTCTTATTCATTATTGAATTAGTTAGTCCATGATCTAAAAACAGGTTAGGGTTCAGGACTATTGTAATCAAATTATTTTACTTTTAAAATATCTTCACAAAGTTATATGTGCACACTAGGGGTTGGTGTTTTTGGCGATTCAGTAGGTTCTGTGATTGTGGGTTTAGTAGGTTCTGTGATTGTGGGTTTAGTAGGTTCTGTGATTGTGGGTTTAGTAGGTTCTGTGATTGTGGGTTTAGTAGGTTCTGTGATTGTGGGTTTAGTAGGTTCTGTGATTGTGGGTTTAGTAGGTTCAACGGGTACTGTAGGTACTGTTATTGTTTTAGTAGGTACTGTAGGTTTAGTAGGTTCTGTGATTGTGGGTTTAGTAGGTTCTGTGATTGTGGGTTTAGTAGGTTCTGTGGTTGTGGGTTTAGTAGGTTCTGTGATTGTGGGTTTAGTAGGTTCAACGGGTACTGTAGGTACTGTTATTGTTTTAGTAGGTACTGTAGGTTTAGTAGGTTCTGTGATTGTGGGTTTAGTAGGTTCTGTGATTGTGGGTTTAGTAGGTTCTGTGATTGTGGGTTTAGTAGGTTCTGTGATTGTGGGTTTAGTAGGTTCTGTGATTGTGGGTTTAGTAGGTTCTGTAATTGTGGGTTTAGTAGGTTCAACGGGTACTGTAGGTACTGTTATTGTTTTAGTAGGTACTGTAGGTTTAGTAGGTTCTGTGATTGTGGGTTTAGTAGGTTCTGTGATTGTGGGTTTAGTAGGTTCTGTGATTGTGGGTTTAGTAGGTTCTGTGATTGTGGGTTTAGTAGGTTCTGTGATTGTGGGTTTAGTAGGTTCTGTGATTGTGGGTTTAGTAGGTTCTGTGATTGTGGGTTTAGTAGGTTCAACGGGTACTGTAGGTACTGTTATTGTTTTAGTAGGTACTGTAGGTTTAGTAGGTTCTGTGATTGTGGGTTTAGTAGGTTCTGTGATTGTGGGTTTAGTAGGTTCTGTGATTGTGGGTTTAGTAGGTTCTGTGATTGTGGGTTTAGTAGGTTCTGTGATTGTGGGTTTAGTAGGTTCTGTGATTGTGGGTTTAGTAGGTTC